AGTTTCTTAATCGTATGGGTACTATGGACCTTAATTAAGTTTTTCTTAGTTGAGTTTTTAGATATTTTTAACTGAATTTCTTGGTTAAACCTGCTATTCAATTTTGTAGAAGTTGGGTTGATTGTACTTGCTTTTTGTTGGAATCATCCATTAGTTAATAGGTAGTTTTTGATAGAGCTAAATGGGTTGAATAAGGTTTAAAATGGAGGAAGTGTTTGAATTTTTGAGATTTCTTTTCTAAATTTATCTTAATTGACATGGTATATAAGAATCATCTAAAAAGGAAATATTTAAGGTTAAGAAAAAAAAAAAGTGCTTGATTTGTTAGAAAATTAATATTATTTTTAATATATTGTTTATGATGCTTATGATTATAATTCTTAACCCTTTATATCTAATTGGTTGCAGACTTGCATTATTTTATTTTATTACAATATTCAAGATTTATGATATCAAGATGGAGATTGACCACTTGAATGGAATTAACGCAATTGTAAGTTTTAGTTTACTGAATTTGACTATTTTCTTATCAACTAGTGAATTTGGTTAATATTTTACAATTTTTCTTGAAGTAATCATGTAAATGTTGACCCTTTTGGTATAGGGTGTGAGTAATGAGGCTAATGTTGATGTACCAATGGCAAACAGTGCTACTAAGTTACATAACAACAATGGTGAAGGTTGGAATCTTGGAAAGAAAATAAAGAGTATACAAAAAAGGTCAAAGGTATGGTTACACCTCACCACATTTGATGATCGAATTACTAAGAAGCAGAAAGCAACATGTAATTATTGTGGAAAGGTATTATGTGCTGAACCTAGGAGAAATGGTACTTCTACCATGAATGGTCATGTTGAATGTTGTTTGAAAAACCCTAGTAATTAGAAGGATAACACACTATTGAAGTATGTTAGTAAAGTAGATGGAAGTAAGATAGTGATTGATTTAAGGACTTGAAAGTTTGGTGAACGTGCAGTGAAGAGAGCATTGGTTGAAATGTTAATTAATGATGAAGACTACTTTAGCTTAGTTGAAAAATTAGTCTTTAGGAGGTTTTGTAAAGTAGCATTGCCACCAACTTTTAAAATTTCATCTAGGAGAACCATAACTAGAGAGTGTTATGACATCTATGTAGAACATAGAACTGCCTTGAAAAATTTCTTCAAAGAATCAAATCTACGAGTGTCATTAACCACTGACACTTGGACTAGCTTACAAAGAATCACTTATGTGAGCTTGACTACTCATTTCATTGATGCTAAGTGGAAGTTACATAAGAAAATACTTTATTTTTGTCCTGTCAATAGCCATAAAGGAGATGAGTTGGGAGATCTTCTTGTTAGATGTTTGAAGGATTAGGCATTAGAGAAAATTTATGCATTAACTATTGATAATGCATTAGCAAATGATGGACTTGTGAGGGTTCGGAAAGATGTAGTGAACAAATGGGGAACTACTATTCTTGGTGGGAAAGACACTTACATGAGATGTGCAACCCACATCATAAACCTAGTTGTTGGTGAGGGTACCAAAGAGAAAGAGATGAACAAGTTTGCAACTGCTATTAGGGCTGTAGTCAACTATGTTAGGCAAAGTCCTATGAGGTTAAAGAGATTTAAGGAGGCTTGTGAGTGGGCAGAAATTGAATCCAAGAATCTGTTGTGTTTGGACGTCCAAACAAGGTGGAATTCACTTTATTTGATGTTGGACACTGCTAAGAGGTTTGAGGAAGCTTTTGAGAAGTTAGTCCCATTTTATTTTATTTGTATTTTCTGTTTTTAATAGTTTTTAATTTGAAATCTTAACTATTTATCGAATGGTTGCATTTCTTCTTCTTTTTTTTTTTTAAGATATGCAAGAGAATGAGTTGAATGATGGCCCTAATGCTCCTAGATTCCCTTCTTGTATAGATTGGGAAAATGTAAGAAGATTAATCAAATTTTTACATCATTTCTATGAGTTGACGTGGAAGGTCTCTAGAACCTTGTATACTACCAACATTTTATATTTTCCAGAGTTTAGTGAGGTAATATATTTTCTTTTATAATTAACACTTCATTTTAATTAAATTATAAGTTATAGATCTTACTGAATTATTTTACTTGTAGGTTGATCATATACTTTAAAAATGGGAACGAGATGTTGATCTTCATGATCTTGCTGGTAGAATGAGAAAAAGTATAAAAAGTATTGGGGGAATCCAAGGGAGATGAACATGAACATCTTCTTTGCAATGGTGTTGGATCCAAGGTATAAGATAGATTATTCGGAATATCTAATGTTAAAGATGTATGGTCATAAACTTGATGGTAAACCTGATAATGATGGGCCCTTTTATGTTGCCATGGTCAAACGTGAGATGGGAATGTTGTTTGAAGAATACAAGAGGTTGAATTCCTCTACTGTGAAATTAAGTGACTGTCAATCATTTGATAAACAAGGAAGCAGCTCTACCTCTACAACCAATATCCAAAGTGTGGCAGATTCGAAAAATAGAGTGCAAACATCCCAAGTGAGGTTTGATTACAAGAAGTTTAAAGCTATCAATGGTAGAAGAACAAAAAAACCAGAGCTGGAGAAGTACTTGGTAGAAGACCTCGGGGATGAGAACGAAGATATTGATGTTCTTTAGTGATGGAAGATGAATGAGCATAGATTTCCAATGTTATCAACCATGGCAAGAGATGTCTTGGCAATCCCAATATCTACTGTTGCTTCTGAATCAGCATTCAATACTGGAGGCAAGGTCCTTATTGCTTTTTTATCATCATTGACTCCAAGAATGGCACAAGCTCTCATTTGTGCACAAGATTGGTTGAGAGATAAGGCTGTTTCTAATATGGAGGAGGATTTGAACAAATTGAACAGTTTAGAGAAAGGTAATATATTGTATGCTACATGTTGTTTCTTTCAAATTCAATTATTTACTTAATTATGCAATTGAGAAAATTTTAACCATGAAACTGATTTTTTTTTTTTAATTGATTTTACAGAGTTTGATAAACTTCATTTGGATTCCACCATTCTTGAATGAATGGTGGATTTATAAATGGTAAGGTAGAAGGTAAATTCCTAAACAACTTTAAATTATGCTAACTTAATGCAATTAAGTAATTAAATTAGCGTTGAGGTAAGTTTTTTCAATCATTTCTTTTTCTTATTTATAATTTCAACTAAATTATTTTTATTTTTGCTAATTGTCCTAGATACAAG